TTGATGGAGGAAGAAGTGACATTACAAATCAGTTAATTGTTGTGTAATCTCTTCATAGTCAACAATAATTACTTTAAAAAAATAGTAAGAAAATAATCTTAGTATAATTAACTATAAAGAAAAAATTTGAAGGGGTAAAAAGAAAGATGAAGAAAAAAGAGGGAGATAAGGATTAAAGACAAAGGCAGAAAGAGATGTTTATGATTTTTGACTAACCAAAAACAAAATAGAGGAGCAAAAATTCAATTTAAAATAGAAATTGTCACTTGTCAAAAGAAGAGATTATACATAAGGCAAAAAGAGGGGTTGTTACAGTAAGCTTTCTTTCTTTTTATATACAAAATAGATATATCACTTTTTCACGAGCACAATAATATAATGTAGTTCACATTACATAATGTAAAAAGTACAACAATTAGACTAGATTGCCTGGAACTCCAATTGCAATGGCTTCTTTCTCATAATAGCCAGAGCATTCAAGAATGTAAGAAAGGCAGATTTTTTTTTTGTAAATTTTCAACACTACACATTAACTCGAACCACAAACAATGTCGGCTCTTCAATAAAAGCAACCTTTCCATCCATCGGACCAATTTTGCCCTCTGGTTTGACCAAAAGTTCGGTTCCCACGAGCAGGTGGTCCGAGTTGAATTGTGGCCCATGGCTTGATACAAAACCTGAAGGCTCGGTTTTGTTTGTTTGTTTTTTCTTTTTGGTAATTGAAGATACATTCAAGGAAAATAAAGCAGTCTACAACATGAGATTAGTTTAATACAGTCATTCTTGGTGTCGTAACACCTCTTAGATCATCCAAAAGTAATGGGAGAACAAAAACAGGACAATGATCAAAAATTAGGAATTGAATATCAGTGCTTCCTCCCCATTATGGTAGAAACATGCCTTGCGGAATGTAGTCGACAGTACCCTGCAATCATGAAGAACAGGGGAGAGTTCATGAATATCAGGTGGATTAGATTTACTACTAGCATGAGATTGTTTGTTTCCTTTGGTAGCTTTGCTCTTACTACTGAACATGACATTGTGGAGATAGCTCATGGTTTGGTTTCAAGTGAGGTGAATTTTGTTTGGGTTCTTCAGCTTGATATATATTGTAAGCTCAGAGGGGACAAGTTATTTACCAGCCGGATATGACTACTTAATAAAATGTCGTGGCATAATCATGCCGTGGTGCTCCCAAGTTGCTGTGCTTTCGGCTCCAGCAATTGGAGGGTTCTTCTTAACACACCGTGGGGAGCTTATATATGTCCTAATGTTTCAATGATTTGTTATCCATTGTTGCCCGATCAATTCACAAATCGGAACATTAGTGGTGGATGATTGGAAAGTTGGGGTTAATTTACACGACAAAAAATCGGTTACACGTGAAGAGGTTGCTGAGAAGATTAGATGTTTAATGAATGGGAAAGCTTCACATGATTTTAAACAAGAGATCAAGAAAGTTAAGAAGACATTGGAAAATGCATTAGACACACAGAAAAATCTGGACCAAATTTGTGATGGATGTGAAAACAAAAGTTCGAAAGAATCAATAGTTTTTAGCCGTCAAATCCGAAGATCAATCTTGTTAGAATTTGGCAAAGGAATAAGGACTCATAATTTGCCACTCATTATTGCTGCTTCTATTATGAGATATCTAGCTGGATTGATTGGACTACCAACTCATTTTTTATGGTCGAGAAACCTTTTGTTTTTATTTGTTCAACTGGTATCCTTTATATTGATAGTGTTACGTCATTGTTTCACATCAATACCTTAACTTTTTGGGACCTCACGGGGACCAAATAATTTTGCCTCACAATTACTGGCCGACATGATGGAGATAAACCTTGGTAAGATAACTGAAATCATAAATCACATCAACTTCTCAAGCAATGGTATGGTGATTATTTGCTGATGTAATTCCATATCCTTCTGATAAAATTTTTCCTTTACGTAGGGTTAAAATAGACTTGGGTTGTATTAATGCAGCATTAGAGGAGGGCCTTGTCCTATGACGACCTAGGTGAAGTCCTGTTCTCAGATGATGATTGATTTATGCATATTTGTCGGGGTTCATATATAAAGGAGTTAATAATTGAAAGGCTTCACTGCCCTAGACCCTATTGCCATTGGCGATATATTGCAATTTGGCCCCGTCAGGATTTTTTGATCAGTATTTAGCCCACTATGAAAAATAATTAAATATAGACGGACTCATTGTTTATTTCGCTGGAAATTAACCCAACAACTTAGGCTTATAAAGGATACCACAGAAAATTATAATCAGAATAAAGTCAGTCTAGTCATTACAAATTCTTTTCTATGCTTTTTTTTCTTTTATTTTATTTTCTATAGGAACGGTGGGACTTGAGAAGCGAAGAGGAGGCGAAAGATTTGAATTCAGAACCTCTAATTATTAAGATCTCAACCATATCCATAAGACCGGCGCATGCTCAAAAAATTTTTTTTTTTTTACGCATCTTATTGCATCGATCGTCAAAGCTCGATCGGCTTGTTTTTTAATGCATCTTATTGGATCGATCATCAAAGCTAACCAAATCAAGGACAAACAGAAAAAAAAAATCAAGTACAAATTATCTTAATCATCTACTTTGTCATTTAATTGAGTTAATGCCACTTGCATGAACCAAGGATTACTTGTCGGTCATTGCGTGTTGATGTTGACTCGAGCAAGTTGGCGCAGGAGATAAGTGGCATTTTCGGAATGAAATGCAAGTTGATTTCGCACGCCAATAGTGGAAGGATTACCTCATTGAGTTTGAAAGGTAGAGACTATTGCACGGTGGAGATTAAGATATATTTACAAGCCAAGAATCAGCCTTTCATATTGAAGTTTCAAAGATGCACGGTGGAGCATTTTGGTTTGCTTAGTATATATTCCCAAAGAAAATGGTTTATTTTCTCTTTTTTATTTTTATGTGGATCTGTTCGAATAAAGACAGAAAAAATTTAGGAATTGAAAAGTGTTATCAAGAAAAAATTTCGAAAGCAAACAAAAGCTTGATAGTAGTTAGTGACAGTTAATGAAAATATTGTGTCTGACTAACTATTTTTCTTTAAATATCCGCAAAATTTTGCAGGACAAGAGGTGAGGAAAGTGTAGCAAAATGCAAGAAAAAGGTTTCGAACTTTCCTACTAACCAAATACGTGTACGTAGATGAAAACATAATTAATTTTCCTTTACTTTCCTACTCTTTTTGCTGGTCTTAGTCTTTAATTATAATTAGCTACTATTCTTAATTTTCACTACTTTTAATTAGCTATACTGAGAGGAATTAATTACGGCTAAAATGATATAAGAGTTGGAGAATCACGTGAATAAAAAAAAAAACACAAGGGAACTGATTAATTTAAAGCTAATTACATACATTAGTATATAAACAATCAAGATGTCATACAGGAAAAGGCATGGAGTTGTTTATTTCCTTCGGAAATGTAGTGAAAGTAAACTTGTGGTCCACGTATTTATTTTTTTTATTTTATCTATTACTCAAATTCTTTTTTTTTGTTAATTGATTTTTTGTTTTAGTTTTTGCCTTTTTATTTAGCTATTACTCATACGCATTTATTCTTTGTGTCAATTGATTTGTTATACTCCTAAAAGTAATCAATTGGATCATCATTCCGTCTATTGCTTAGTTGAAAGAGACAGAGGTCGAGGCACATGAACCGCAAACTATATTTGCGAGTGTATTTTAATCACTTCATAAACAAAAAAATCACGTAAATGGATTAAATAAATTTTTTGTCAGATAAGTTTAGTGACCATTGGTATATTTTTTAAGTTTTTAAAACTAAAGAAAAATTAGAAAAGAAAGATTTTGTTTTAGAAAAATTCATTACATAAATGGTTCCTGCCTTTCTAAATCTTTTGAAAAAAATAATAGAAGTATTATCACAAGAAAATAAACGTACTTACAATTTTAAAAAATCTATAACAAAAAGAAAAAATATAAAAAAGAATTACAAGAAAAGCTTTAAGAAAATATTGTATTTGGAAACGATTAAAGAAAAAAATGATCTTTTTGAAAAAAGAAATACTGAATTTTTTTTAGGAAATACCATTTTTTACGTTTTTACATATTTGCCAATGTAGTTAAATGTTTTGCAGTTACTCTTTCTTGTAGTTCTCTCTTTCTCTATTTAATTTCCTTGAAATACAAACCAAGTTACTTTCTTCCGAAAGTATTTCTATTATTTTTCCAAAATATTTAGGAACGTAAGGATCATTAGTGTTATAACTTTTCCTAAGAAACTTGTTTTTTTAATAATTGCTTGGTTTTGAAAGTATTTTCTAGAAATTTACATCGAAGGTCACTAAACATTTTTTTCTAAGTTTCATTTAGCATACTATAATTTTCCCCCCTACAATGTGATGAAAATACCTCTGGAAACATGGTGTCCACCACACTTGTCATGAATTATGTCTCTTTTAACCAAGAAAATAGACGGATGGTCTTGATCACTTTTAAGGGTTTAATGGATTAATTATCATGAAGAATAGTAGAAATGGACCAAATGAGATTTTGAAATAGTTTGATGACTAGTGATGCATTTTTATCGTTAATAAGAGTAAATAGTACTTAATATGTATAAATCTTTGGAGAAGAGTGACTTCAATATTTCCGCCCACTTTAGTTTTCTGGTTTTTAGGGCCTTTACATCCTTTATTTTTTAAACAAGTTCTTAGGGTTTGTTCTTGTTTGATATAAGATTGTGCAAAAGTTGGTTATGAAAAGATAATATAGAGAATAATCACAAAAACTACTCTTTTATAGATTTTAGATTTAATCTTTTTGTTGTTTTAAAAAAAATCTATAATCCAAAAACAAAAGCAAATGAGAATATTAAAAAAATTGATTATCTAAAGTCAAAATCTATAATCAGTTAAAAAAATAATGAGGTGATAATAACATTCTCTATTCAAATTCAAGTTTTTTAACTTTTTTTTTTTGTCACTATCCTACCACAAGAAAAATGAAAATAACTACGGAAAACTTTTGATAGAATAATTTTCACTATCTGTTTCCAAATTACAAATGGAAAGTCACCGCAACAAAAATACAATTTATACACAATATTTTCTCTGTGTCCAAGAGTATCGTTTCTTTCTGTTGCTTGGCAATGCCATGTACTTTTTCCAGTCATCAATCACCAACCGAAGGTCATGAATTTTTTTATGTACATCAACACAACAATTTGCATGCATTGTGCAAAGCACATTCAGATCCTTACTTGGCTGACAAAATCCACTAAAGTAAGCTGTATCCAAGAATCTGATCTTTAATCCAATCCTCTTGATGAATGGATCAAATTTGATAATATTAAGAACATCTTGCTCATTCTTACCAGGATAAGTTTTCTTGGACCCGCACCAAAACTTGTAAAACTGGAGAGTTATGCTATTTGACCTCACATACATGAAACCTGCGTTTGGTCGGTTACGCATATCAGTAGAGGTGAATTCATATTGATCGCTAGCAATTTGAAAATCTGCATCCTCATAAAAATGTGGAAATGGATCTCTAAACCAAATTATATCAGTGTCCTGAAAGCAAACAACAACCAAAAAAAAAAAGATAAATAAGTTGTGGGGAAACATTGTTTCATTGCTCTTGAGAAATAAATGAACATTTTAGTCCGTGAAATAAGTAATGTTTGTGTAGAATATCGTATATATAGCTGATCTAAACTCCAATTCAAATGAAAATCCATCAAAGTGCATGTTAGCTCCACATTTCCAATTACAGTCATAAGCTCTAAGCTTTAATTCAAATTTACACGTTAAATTTCTCATGCCATATATGCTTAGTAGATATGTTATTCTTCAAGAATCGTTTACGCAAAAGAAAACTAGACCTAGTGGAAATACATTTCATACTGATAATCTCTTATAGCCCTTCAAAAATTTGCACGCTTCCTTATGGAAGCGAGATGTTTTGCAGAAATACTAGTTGCTAGTCAGGCAGAAAATTTGCCAATAATATTAACCTTTGGTGTTTGTTCTGCAAATTTCATGGAAAAGAGAAAGTTATTGCAAATGATGCAATGGCAAGAAAAATAAGATCAATGTTGTAGTTGAAGCACTTAAATCAAAGTGTGCTAAAATAATCAAAGTGTGTGATAAACCAATTACCTAGCAAAAGTATCATTATTAGAATTTAAAATTATTCCTTTATGTCCTACATATAAGTGATTGGATGATTTCACCAAATAATTTAAATGATCGAGTAAGAAACAAAGCTTATAGATCAAGGGGAAAGCAAACTTCAGTTTGACAAGCCTTTTCCTTTCTACTCGTAAATCACAAATCACAACAAACTATAATAATAAAAGGGTTTGTCTAATGGATGTTGAATCAACCATGACTAAGAGGGGTCTCAATTTTTTCTTTTTTGTTTAAAAAAGTGAAATTAAAATAAAAAAAAGTATCGAAATGAAAGTCGAAATAGTGATTGTGTGCATTTAAATGATAAATTGGATATAGATGAAGTATTTTGACCAGTACCAACTGGACGCCTATTTGAAAATACCCTAAAGACTTTCATGCCAATAGACTTAAGATTATTTACTAAATTATATATATTTCCTTCTAAAGATGCATTTGATTAGATGTTCATCAAACTTATGTTTAATAACTTTAATTTTCAGTATTACTATAGGATTATGTTTATTACACGTCCAATGCAAAGAACGCAAAGTATAAGATGTGACGTTAAGCAATGACTAATGAGCTGTAACGCATATTCTTAGTGAAGTTGCACTTCTTGTCCTCTTTTTCAGCCTCCTTTTTCTCTTTTCCTATAATGGCTAGGGGGAAGTACAATAACCTACGTAGGGTGGTGAAACTGAAAAATGGAACATACAACTTTAATCTAGGATTTCTTAATTTTAAAAGCTTAATGTTGGTTATTTTCCTTGCTAGATCAAAGCTTCATAGGCATATTTTGAGCTGCTTAAACAATCTAAAAGACAATTTAGTGGATAGTAAATGACAAAATTATGAACAAAAAGATTACCGTGAAAATGAAACTGTATCCTAGCTCAAGAATGGTACGCATGAAATCAAGTCTTCTCCACATCATCTTCATGTATTGTGGGCTCATATAATTTGCCCTACCAGAAAAGTCTACCCCTTCTGTAATAAGTGCATAACAATGGTGGTGTACCCCCAAGCAATGAGAGTATGCCTTTTGGTCCATGGCCACAATTACCAAATGATTCAGAAGATATTGTGTTTGATTGCCAATATTAAATCCCTCAAGAAAGAGATCAAACAATGAACCTGGAGTTATCCATGCTTCATTTATTGTTGTAAAAATGATAGTTTTGTCTGCCGAGGCTGCCTTAGATAATACTCTCTCCAACTTGGTTTCTTCATTTTCTTGGTTAACCTTCATTGATTAGACAGCAAGAGAAAAAACTTAAATTCATGGAGTGGAATTAGAGGTTCAAAGTCTTGGATATGAAAATTAAAATTGGAAGTCTTGGATATTATTTATTTGCAAAAGGATATAAAAATAGAATATTTTGCACGAACAGATACATCTTGACTTTCAGATCCACGATAATATCTTGTATGGAGTATCGTATAAGGTTGCATTATAGAAAAGAAAAGACATAAATAATCTGAAATTAGAAACTTTGCTATCCAATTCTAGTTTTCCATATAGGAATCACTTACGAAATTAGAAATAAAAATCATTTATTTATTTTTTTTTTCTAAATATACATCACTTGTGGAACCAATAAACTAACAGTATGAATTTCTTCTACAGTACATGGAGCTGGAGATTACAATTTGCTCTTTGTCTCTCTTTTAATAAAAATTTTGTTTTCAAAAAGAAAAAAAAAAAAGCTCCTATACAGATTGCAACTATTAAAACTAACTGCATATATACTCTAGCTAGCTAACCATGCAGACCTGTTTTTGGGAAAGAGTTAGAAAAGCACACAAAAGAAACAATTTTCTAAAACATAACATTTAAATTTTAAGAATTGGTTCCTGGAAGATGAATAAAATTTTCTGGTGTAGCTTGCATATAGGAATCTCCTTTCTTCAGATATTTCCACGAGCACCATTTGTCTTCTAATCTGAAGTCTAAGCATCATTATTATTAGGGTAAATTAATTATTACCCCCTTGCAGTTTTACATAATGCCATATGACCCCCTAGAATTTTAAAAGAGCCACACAGTCCCCTCGTGATTTTGTGTAAAGTGAAAAATACACGAAATGCACAATCAGTTATGATATTTATAACAAACACACTTTAAGAGCGTGTGTGATATAACATCTTAATATCTAAGTGATCCCCTTCTGATCTATATAGATATCCACTTTATCCTTATGTAGTTTTGTATTTATCTACGTAATCTCCTTATGCTTTTATACAAGAGGGTTACGTTGTCGATTGATTTAGCATTTAAATAAGGGTATATTCATATTTCAACTAATGACATTACATAGGTTATTTTCCATCAAGTTTCTACTTCACAAAAAATCATAGGGGGTGAAGTACACATTTTAAAACATTAGGAGGGTCATGTGATAATAAATGAAACTACAGAGGGATAATATGTAATTTGTCCTTATTATTATCATTTTTAATGTAAGTGGGAGGTCTCACACTCGAGGCATCTCACTTGTATTTCTTCTCCCATATCACGCAACCGATCCCTCTCTCGAAGTCTTAAGTAATATATTTGTCCATTAGTCAGCATAGTATGGACTTCTATAGTTAATACCATCATATAAAAGTCAATTTTGTTCATCATATCCCGGCATCATACTGCTTTCTTGGATATATACATCTTTAATGATATAGATAAACACCACACGTATGGATGGCTGGGCGCTAAACTGCTCTCTCATTTGTCAATTTGAAAACGAAAGTAATAATGCAGGAAAAAAAATCACATCATCATTTAGGACCACTAGGACAAAGCAAGCACGATTACGGAGGAAAGGCACAAATCTTTGACTACATTTTCCAGTTTTCCTTACTCGACGTGATAATCAGATTTGGCAATTAAAGACATTTGTGGTGTGATTGGGTTAATTTCATTTTGTACACCTCAACTATAGCTTAATTTTCATTTTGGTCCTTAAACTATAAATTACGATATTTTCATCTCTAAACTATAAAAATCGTCCCGGTCAAGGACAATTGTTAAAGAAATCCCCAAACTAACGGAAAACTACTCAAATGAGCAGAAAAAACGATGACATAATAACCTGATAAAATTCCAAAATTAGATGGTAGAAAGGAGGTTAGGGACCAAATTGAGAATTATGGTATAATTTAGAGACTAAAGTGTACAAATATACAATTCAGAGATTAAAGTAAGGATCCTAATTTAAAGTTTAAGGACCAAAGTGAAAATCAAAATATAATGGAAGGATACAAAATGAAATTAAACATTTGTAGTTTATTACATTGACCATGATAATTGAAGTTCCTGAATGACTTTATTCACCTTTCTCCCTGAAATCATTTGCCAGTGGGTTTTGGAACTCTAATTTTTTAATGATTTTTCTAACAAGAGTTCATTGAGTACTCTTTAATATATTTAAATTCCATCCAATCTATATAGTAGTCACTAATCATTAATACTTTTCCTTGCATTTATATGCTTTTTTTTTAATTCGCTAATATTTCACCTTTTCAAAAATCTTGCACCGGAAGTATATCTTAACTAGATATACCTATTTTTTAAGCCAACTTAAATTTATTTATCTCCAGCGTGGCACCTGGAGGACACTTTCAACTATCGCAACATATATACAAGTTACATAGGTCTCGTCCCTTTCTATCTTCTTGTTTTTTTTTTTTCTTTTCCTTTTGCCTCCATCCGCGGCCGGCCCCGCGGGCTTTCAAATGCCAACTGGCAACTTGATCTAGTCTCAGGTTGGAACTTGAAAATCAACGTAGCTTTGGCAAAATTTGTGACACTCAATACTTGATTGTAGATTCCTACAATCTCTAATTCATTCCTGACATGCTGATTGAAAATGAAGGAACGAGTTACACACAATTTCTAAGCAAATTTCTAGGGCAAATTCCACTTTACCCCCTGTAATTTAGTATTTTTTACATAATTCCCTTATAGTTTCAAAAACTATACATAACCCCCTCATGATTTGGATTAAAGTGTCAAAATGACGAAAATCATCATTCGTAACGGAGTTACCTAAAATGTTAAAAATATCCTAATGTAAAGTTGAAACTTATTTATTAACCAAGGGAGTTTATGTGTATATTTTGAAAACCATAAGGGGGTTATATGGTAAAGTATTAAATCATAAGGGGGTTATCTAGTAAAACATAAAAATCATACGGGATTAGTGTGTCATGTATTTATAAGGATAATTTCAATATTTTTAGAAGTTCCGTTACGAATGACTATTTCCGTTACTTTGATACTTTAATCCAAATCATGAGGGGGTTATGTATAACCTTTGAAACCATAGGAGAGTTATGTAAAAAACACTAAACCACAGGGGGATAAAATATAATTTACCCAAATTTCTAAAAACAAAATAATATAAAATAAAAATGCAAGACGAAAAGAAGGAATAACGAAGAAAATTGAATTTACTATTAGTCAATTTTTTTAGACTAAACTAAACCGAGACAACTTTGAAACTTCCACTGATTAGGTGATGATCTGTGGAAGTTACACTATTTCCAGCCAGGAAATTCTATCTCAGGGAGCACACTCTTTTTGACAATTATCCATTCGTGCTAAAATATTGCAATAGAGAATTCCACCCATAGAATTTTCCTTCCCCCACCATATATTTAGAATAATTCAGATTTCGTAACATTTCTTGCCCATGATAATGACGCACAATTGCTAGACAAATCCTCTAACCATTCCTACATTTTTTTTTTCCTTTTTTTGGGATAGGTTCCAGAGATTGTTTAAATCTTTGTAAAGAACTTACCTGGGGAGATAAGTTCCCTTGCACAGACTCAGTTGGAGAAGATCGATTTCCATTGCTTGACTGAGCACTAGAGCTTAAAGATGGAGCAGATGTATCACCTTCTGCAGTTGACTGATCATGAGTTGGAGAGGAAAAAATTTGATTCTGAAAAAACGAAATCTACTTTTACAAAAAAGATGATTACCAGGGCTGGTTGACTTCTGGAAGGATAAGTCTCCTTCTACTTTGGAATCACCATCTTGACTTGAGGAGGAGGAATCATTTTCTTGTCCAAAAGTGAAGTGCTGGGATGAAGGATTGTTACTGAAAGCTGAGCGATATAGGACGAGGGATAGATCGGCAGCAACCACTAATAGTATCAACCAAATGACAACTTGATTCTGATACAGGAGGTGGTGGCACAGGTGGTGGCAGCCACCGTCTTTTGACATTTTATCTTCTCTTTTGCCGGCCTTTCTCCCTTCTGCATCTATCATCACAAAATAGTACTGATGCCTTTTGGGGAAACCGGGATTAGTGCAGGCTGCTTCTCCATAGATATAAATTAACATGAAAGTCAACTTAAGATTGAATACTAGTTACTGGTTACAAGAACCGGCGCCTGGTTTTTGATAGTCGGTTGAATCGGTTTTGTTGGTTTAGAACCATACACAAAAAAATGGACCGTCAAATGGTTAGGCCAGATGATTTAATCAACATTTTTTTTTTTTTTGTCACAACGATAGAATTTCTATAATTTAATCTAACTTAATCTAGGGGGAGGGGGACTCGATGTGAGTACAGACTCCATCGAAGAAAACCAAGGGTTCATCGCACCACCAAGTTGGTGGCCATTTACGGTCCGTTTGTTTCGGGTGAAAATATTTTTCAGGAAAATATTTTCCTAATTTCCCGTGTTTGGTTGCACAAAAGTTACTGAAAACATTTTCCTATGTAAAATATTTTCACTCATTTTATGGAAAACAACTTCCCTTCCAAACTTACTGAAGTTGTTTTCCGAAATGCATGCATCCCGCCTGTAGTATGTTCCAAACTTATTGAAAACATCTTGTAGTATGTTCTTTTTTTTTTTTAGTGTAAACAGGAGGACTCGAACCCAAGACCTCTTCCTTACATTCCCTCCCCCGTACCACCCAACCCAACCCAACCCTCCCCCTAGTATATTCAAAATAAAAAAAAAAAACCTCATCCTGCTCATCCTATACTAGTAATTAATTATGTATAATAGGGACATTCTTTTCTAGAGAAACTTTCAGCAGTGAGAGTGCAAGATATATGTCACAATAAGTATTGCATGTGATTGATATTTGACATTAAATGACCAGCAATTTGTTTATTGCTTAAGGAGATATTTTTTATTCATATATACATTTCTCCAAGATTTTTTAAAGTTAAACAATGAGATAAATTTTCTTATTTTGCATGGGAAGAAGTATGTAGTTATAATTGTGTAGAAAGTAAAGATAGAGATAAAAGTGAAAATATTTCAAAAGTTAAACAAACACCAGAAAAATGAAGTAAGAAAATATTTTCAATAAACTGACCAAACACTTGAAAATAATGAAAGGGAAATGATTTTCATGGAAAATTACTTCCACGGATTTTACTTCCAACCAAACAGACCCTTAATCAACAATTAAACGTCATAAAATGTGCTTTGACAGCGGTGGCGGCGGAGCCACATGATGTTGAGCATGGCTAATTGCCCCCCTCCCCTTCAACTTTTAAAAGTTTAGAGAATAGTCTTGAAACTTTTGAACATTTTTATTATCTACTTATATTAGCTCCCTCTTCTCCTTTTTCCCCCTTTTTTTTTGGGGTGTCCCACAGGGAATGGACCCTGTAGACTATTCCCCCATTCTCTGCAACTTGCTGGTAGCAAGGTTCGAACCAAGGATCTAAGCCCCATCTTCAGCAATCCTAGCCACCAAACCAAGCCCCCGAGGGCGCTCCCTCTTCTCCTCCAATTTTGATAAATACTTTGCTTCTAACATTGCCCCCGTATTATGAGCAGGTCTCATTTTCGTCACATTACCTTCGTAAGTAATCAATTTATTTTGATATCTTTCCTGTGGTATAAATGTTTTGAAGTTATTAAACCACAAAATTGATTAGTACTTGTATAGGATATGATTTCAATACTTTTACACTATAAAAAATTCATAGTAAAACCATAATCTTTATTCAAAATTTTCTTTTTCATAATAATGACATCATTTTATGTGTACAATGTTGCCTCCACTGGTTATAGGTCATGGCTCAACCACTACTTGACGGTTGTTATAATTAACTAGTACAAATTGATTAGTACAAATAAGTACACAATCTCAATCTTACAATTTCAAATTGAGCAATTTGGATCGTCAAATGCCTAAATTAATTGCGTTATTACAAAATCCAACCTAACTTTGGTTTATGACTGGTTTAATACTTAAATCGTTGATAAGTCTCCATTCAGGGTTTGCTAGGTCCTTAAACCAGTGGGAAAAATGCTTCTTTATGTCAACTTGGAATAAGGATAGATCAAATAAAGTTTGAAATAAACCAAACATTTTATTCTTTGATAGAATTCAACCCAAAATTTTGAAATTCGGTTCATTGTTCTCATCAAAATGACATCAAAATTTAATTTTATTTAATTACCAATGCTCAAATTTGGTTCAATATTCTCAATGTACGGCTTCTCAATTTGATTTGCTCAAGTATTTATAGTTGCTCAAGTTATCTAAAGGGCAAAAAATAAATACTATAAATGGTTTCCACATCAAATAGAAGTTAAGAGAAATTAAGGAAAACTTTAAAAAACAGTAAAAACTAAAAAGAGAAAAGTATACTAGGACGTGAAAAAAAAAAGATAAAAGTTGTTTCCGATTTTGACTGGTCATACTTGATTTTTGGCCGCATTTGAATGGGTCAATTGCTGTCCAGTATAATTAAATGCCTTAGACTGGGTAGCTAACCGGCCAGTTTTCGTTTCAATCAATTGAACCGAAAGATCCAATTCGAATTTCAAAATATTACTTTAAATCTTTGACAAATTACACTTTATCCCCCTATAATTTAGTATTTTTTGTACATAATTTTCATGTAGTTTTAAAAACTATACATAATCCTCTCATAGTTTGAATTAAAGTATCAAAGTAACAGAGCTTGCAATCTATAATGAAGTCACCTAAAATATCAAAAATACCCCTATGTAAAGTTACAAATTATTTATTAACTACAATGGGATTATGTGTATATTTTGAAAATTATAAGGGAGTTATATGGTAAAACATAAAACCATACAAGGCTAGTGCGTCATGTATATTATGTTTATATATTTTGGTCACTTTAATAATTTTAATTTTTAAACAAGGGTAATTTCAACATTTTTAAAAGGTTTCGTTACGAATGGTTATTTCAGTCACTTTGACACTTTAATCCAAACCACGAGGGAGTTATGTACAAAAACACTAAATCACATAGGGATAAAATATAATTTGCATTTAAATCTTTGATTAATTGTATGACGCTAAAATGTTATTGCAATTTGTCATGAACGTGGGTAAGAAGACTCTTCTCAACCCAAGGAACCACATCTCGAGCTTCATCAGCGATGATTCCCAGAAAAATAAGTGTATTATAGTGTCTGTATGTCAAAGTTTAGTTGACCCCACTACAGCAAGATAGAATGACAGTTAAATCTTGATCCATTCAAACAATTCAAGGAAAAATTTTATACTATTTCAGAATTTAAAATGTACAGCCCATAATAAATCGTTTCTTCTGTGGAATTCCCGACCCATGAGAGAGAGTGGAAGATAAAACAAACTTTCTGACATCGTGATTTCACCAAAGACTTGTCATCAAGGCCCATGGATTCATACTTAATTGCTCTGATTCAACGATGCCGGCAGTTTATCCGGGAATCATTCCATTCCAAGAAGCTTCGAATATGGTTAACAAGAGTAGGTTACGAATGAATCAATGGAAAGATTAGTGTGTGCTTTGTTTCTATTTTATTCTGTATTCTTTGTTGTAAACGACGAGTTTTCTGCATTTGTTAACAGCTTGCCATTTCATTGAGATTCCCATTTCTAATTGTCGAACTTTTCAAAACAGACAATTGATGCTTTGTTTTAAAATCTCCTCTAACGTCTTGCAAAAGGTTTTGACATTGACCAATTAGATGATTAATTCTTTTACCGAAACCAAGATTTTGATAGCCAACTAAAAGCAACTGGCCATTGAACATGTAAATAAATAAATTAATAAACGAAAAACCCTCTTGGATTTGGTTGTATATATCTAAACTGAACGCGTTTCAAATCAAATGTAATTTGGGTCCTTTCTAAAAGTTTGGCATTCAAAATATATGAGCTAGTTTCTAAGAAGCAATCTAGGAAAGGATGTTTTGTAGAAATTAGTTTGTTAAATTTGATCTTGTGTTTTGACAAGTTCTTTTGTACTTTCTAAAAGAAATTTAGACTTGTCAAAAACGTGAAAATAGGAATAATAACAACGGGGTTAATGTAATGAAGTGGATGATATATCGTGCAAGGTAATTTATACATACTTAGCGGGTGCCTATTAGCGATCTCGGGTAGTTTAAAACTACCCAATGAAGATTAGATTAGGAATAATAACATTTGATATGAGAGGTTAATGTTGGAAAAGAGATCCCGGTGCAGGCACACAACGTCAGACTTAACACAAGACAAATTACTCTTTCCTTAAATACTAATTAAAATAAGAACAATCACCAAGCAACGATATCAATAGTAATAAGAAAATGCAAAAAAAAAAAAAAAGAAGGTACAAGACACCAAGATTTTTAATATGAAAAATCCAAATTGAGAAAAGTCATGTGATTTAGTTCAGTTAAAAAATCTCCACTATCACAGTAATAGGAATACATAGGTCTATCCAAAACATCCGGATGACAGCAATATTACTAACATTGACCAAGCGAAATTGCTACAAATTTATTCTCAAAAACTACAACTATCAAAGAAGTGAGTTTGAAAAGGTGTTAACAAATGAAGAGAAAATCTAAAATTCGAACTAGCAGATAGGTAGAGATTGACAAGAGTATCTCGAGGATAAAATTTCGGATTTCAAATTACTGTCCAATCAAGGCCTTGAAATATTTCGTTTCTTTCCTAGATCGGCGGCTGGAAGGATGCTTTCTTCTTGGTTCTAAAATCAATCCCACGGTTGAATCGTCAAGTCATGATGCCTTGGTTTTCCTACTGGATTTGGTCAAAGTTGACCAAATTAATTTAATGCGTGGGTCTAAGCTGTCACTTAACCCGCCAAATAGGCTGGACCACAAGCTCAACAGTTAACGCCTTGTAATCCTCAGCAACTTAATCTCATCTTCATGTCGGTGATGCCTTGGATTTCCTACTGGATTTGGTCAAAGTTGACCAAATTAATTTAATGCGTGGGTCTAAGCTGTCACTTAACCCGCCAAATAGGCTGGACCACAAGCTCAACAGTTAACGCCTTGTAATCCTCAGCAACTTAATCTCATCTTCATGTCGGTGCACTGTTCACTGCCCACGCTC